CCTGTTCCCCATAATTATCACAAGAAGTCTTCAGCTCACTTGTTAATTACTGCTGGTAGGTCCAGACTGGGGCTAAGAAATCAAAATGGAAACCAGAACCTGTCTTAATGCTGACGGGGAGACTGGGAATGAGAGAAAATAAGTAGAGCAGCAGGAGAAGCTTTTATTGGTCCCAATCCCAACTCATCTATAAGATCAGGGGGGCTGCCATGTGAGGGGTCACCCAGCAGGGAGCGCTACATTTCATCAAACAGGAAACCATCAGATGGGGAGCTTTACTGTACGTAACGTACCATGATAGAGATTGCCATCTGATCCTTCATATTGCTGTATTCCTCTCTATCAGCGGCTGGAACACTGACTGAGTTTTCTGATCTGGACTATCTACAGAAACAGGAACAGGATTTTACTCCCTCTGTATCTCCTGGTTCCTGTTTAAATTCGATTACATTTACTTATATAGCATTTTACAGAAAAAGTTCAAGTCAGATTGGTTCAAAGTTTTCTATCTAAAGTAGGGATGCACGATATTGGGATTTTGGCCGATATCCGATATGCCGATATTTTAAAACTCATGTAGCCGATAACCGATATCGATACTGATGATAAAGCTGGATAAAAATAAGTAGTCATTGAAAATAGCAGTTTTGTTATCCATTTCTGACACTTTGAAAAAATAATATACTCAAATATATTTTCATATGCTGATATCAAATTGATTTTTAAAAACGCCGTATCGATCTATTTTACTTTCAAAATCTCGTGAAATTTCATCGTTCTGTTACAAACTCTCGTGATATTTTGCAAATTCTTGTGAGATTTTGTTAGTAAAATAGATCGATGCCGCGTCAATATATCAACATATAAAAATATGGCAACATTTCGTGAATTTTTGGGGATTTAAGTTTTTAAGTCTGTAAAAAAGAAGTTTTTGAGGAAGAAGAAGTAGTAGTATTTTTATTTTATTTTTTAGACTTTAGAAACTCAGAAGCTGATCAAATATTGGGTTAAATATCGGTGGGGTGGCCGATGTCCGATATTCAGTTTTAAGGCCGATACCGATTATATCGTGCATCCCTAATCTTAAGAAAACCCGCTTTTTGGAAAATCGCCCTGAAAATCGCACAGTTGGGAACAGTAAAGATGGCTAAGGTGTCCATCTGTTACTCTTTGGTACTGACTATACGGGCCACACAGAACCGACCCAGACTGTTCACCAGGCCTCTCATCAGCCAATCAGAGAGAGCACATAGATTATGCAGTGGGTAATCCAACATCCAGTTTATCTCACTCTATATCTTTTAGCTTAAGAGCAACACAATCAGCTGACAGTTTCCTGAACAAACGCAGCTCACTTTCAGTCCCTGTTCTTTGTTATTTCTAATTCAGATGTTAGCCAGCTATCATCTCATACTAAATATATATAAATGACCTCCAACATCAGTCATTCAGTATGTTCATTTTTCTCTTTGGCTACTTGGCTCGACTTCCTCAGTCACAGACACATGCTTGCATGCACACAAAAACACACCTACAAATGCTGTCCCTCATGCATGAATATGTTTAAAAAGACACAGACGTTGCTGTTCTAACGCGTACCGCTGTTTCAGCCACCAATATGGAAATGGTTTCCATGTGCCAGTAGGTGATGACTGCCCAGTGTGAGCCTCACGTTATGTTTAGTTGTTTCACTAAGACTTTACTGAATAATATTTACTTTCTACTCACACAAACACGCTGTAGAACTGTTGACGTTTGTGTTTAATGTTCCTGGTTAGTGGCCACGCATGGCTTGATGCTGATGATAGCACCCAGTATCACAGCACAGGGAAGGTGATGCTGACTTCAGGAGCCTGGATTGTTTTTCTGATTTCCTCACTCTTCTTACAAGGCATTAGTCGGGCCTCTAGCAGGGTCAGATAGATACAATTGTCACTGTATCACTGTTTGATATATATTAGACAAATATGCAACATATGTGTGCCATTAGCACAGGTGTGAATAATTGAAACAAGCTTTTTAAAATTTTAAAATTACCCTCAAAATAACATTAAAATAATTTTATATACCGTATTTTCACGACCATAAGGCGCACCGTACTAAAAGGCGCAGTCTCAGTTATGTGTGCCATTACTGTATTTAACACACACATAAGGCGCCCCGGATTATAGGGCGCGGGTTTTATATACAGGCACATATCCTCTACTACGTTTAAATACCTCTACTGCATATTTAAAAATAGAGCGGGAGCAAAACTGAGTATGTTTGTGCTTTATTCATGTATTTATTACAAAGTATTAATCAAACCTGGGAGCTGGCCGTGAGACAGACACATCGCTGATGATACACAGCGCTGTGATCACTCCTCTGAAACAGTTTACTAATGCATTAATTAACTTAAAATGCAGAAATCTGCCGGCAGAATATGTTCACTTTTATTATCCTGGTGCCAGCAGTTTAGATTATTTAAATGAAAAACACCTACCAGCTGCCGCGGTGAACCGCGAGGAGGCGACCCGGCCAGAGGCTGCTGTTGAATGGGATTCCTACTGACAGCGCACCGCTGGTATGTGGGGGTCTGAGCGGCTCCGACAGAAATAATATTGGAAGGCAAGATGGTAATCTGTAACCTGACTCCGCAAGATGGATTTGCTCCGCATATCCATCTGGAAACCTTCCGTTGAAGTAATTTTGGGAAGGGGCGAAAATACTGGTTAGCTGATTGGCCTATGTTGGTGATAGACGGGCCACATAAACCAATCAGATCAACGAAGCATATGACGTACTAACAGAGCGACGACGAAAACACAACCACAAGCCAGGCACAAGCCAAATGATAGATCAAACTCTTTTGCCGAAACCAGTCGGGAAAAGAGCAAAAACATTTTTTCCTCTGAGAAAAGCCTCCAGAGCAGTGTTTTGCTCTTCTCTCAGTGAAGAAATACTCTGTAATTCCGATAAAACTTGCTCGATAGCCACGCTAACGCTAGTTTCATGGGCTGAAGCCGCCATGTTCTTTAGACTGAACTGTCGCTCTTCTCGTTGCGTCACACCGCAATCCGCCTCAAAGCCAACGCTGATTGGACGTTCGTTTGGTGAACGCCTCCAAATTTTCTTTAACGGAGAGTCTCCAGACTGATCTGCGAGTGAAACCTTGAAAGCTCGTGAGATCAGGATGGTCTCACGAGGCTAGGTAATCTGGATGAACTGACTGCAATGATTAGGTTTTCAGGCGGATTTTCCCACTTAAAAACATATCAAAACGACTTTATTCCCACTGATCACAGCAAATATAGCTTCAAGGCAGAGAAAGGATATAGTAGCTCCGCCCAACGCGTGTCAGATGCACTTTTGCACCGCGCAGCCAGAGCAGCAAAGCTGCGTCAGAACTAACTGGTACAAGCAGCAAAAAACAAACAAAAAAACACCTGGTCTCCTTACATTCACCTCCCTCAGCCACTCTTTCATCATCTCCTCAATGAGGAGATGAAGAGTTCTGCATAAAGCACATACCTGTTCATTTATACACAATCCACGCCCACACTACCCCCTTTAACGTTCTCATGGTGGTCTCAACAATGTCCGCAGTACCAACACACATAGGGCACACCGTACTATAGGGCACACTGCACATTTTGAGGGGAAAAAAAGACGTTTATATGCGCCTTATAGTCGCGAAAATACGGTAGTGTTGTTCATTTATGACTAAGGCGTTCAAGTTATAGAAGACATCATACAATATATTTACTTCAGCAACCACACTGCTGTTTTGATTGCCAGCAAAGTGAGTTTCATGTTCATGATTTCTCTAGTGAATTTAACACAATTCAGCCTGATTTGCCTTGTCAGAAACTTCAGAAGGCAAAGGTTAAGGTCTCAGCTATCACCTGGTCCAAAGATTCCCTGACAGAAGGACTGGAGTCTATGATACTGAAGGGTCAAATATCACCAGAGAGGAACCATACTCTCACCATTCCTTTCTACTCTGTGCACCTCTGAGATCCAATACGAGACTCCTGTCATCTGCAGAAATACTCGGATGTATCGGCAGTCATTTGTTGTATCAGAGATGGACAAGAAGCTGAGTACAGGGAGCTTGTGAGCCATTTGTGGCAATATGTGGAAACAATCATCTGACCCTGAATGTAAATTCAACAAGAGGGATGAATGTATTCAAACATCATTACCCTCATGGGACATTAAGTGGAGGTGGTGGAGGAGTAGACATACCTCAGTATTCAGCTGGACTTCAAGGCACAGAGAAGACTTTATTTCTTGTGGAGACTTAGTTGTTTTTCAGTTTGCAGCAAGATGCTAGATATCTTTATAGGTCTGTTATGGTGAGACTGCAATGGGTAGGGACTGTCGGGTTTTAAAAGCTCGATCAAAACTTAAAGGTATAGTGGAGGATGTTCTTTTTCTGGGTGGATCATCAAAATAAGCGTTCCTTCTTATTGTCAATCATTCTGGTGATATGTTTACATAAGGCTGCCCTACGTGCTCTTCCCCATTTTCATCTACAATTGGTGAGTCTGACAGTGGAAAAATTGCAAATCTTCTTGTATGAGTGATTCAACGAGCCTATTTTTCCTCATGCACACCCTGTTTAAAGGTTGCTGTTTGCATCGCACGCGTTTAATAGGTGTTCCCTCTCGGGTGCCGGCACAGGGTTGTGCATGTGCATTTTTATTTACAAAAATTCTAAAACATTGTCCTCCCACATTGCTTTCTAAGCTGTTTTTGATTATTTGTAATTTTAAACTTAACCTAAGTTTTGTGTCCTGCAAGTACTTTCAATTGGATTTCAGCCCAATTGTCAAAAACATTAAACGCTGCTGCCTTGCTTAAGTCCAAATTTCTTCTTTAAAAAAATCAAAAACCCTACAATTATTTGGTGAAGAGAATCTTTTGAACAAATTTGAACATTTAAGATTTACTACATACATGGTTGAACCTAGAATAACTAACTTGTTTACTCCTTCTCTCTGCTTCCCCCGCAGGGAGCAACAATAAGACGTGACGATAATACAGGAGCCATCATTGTAGCTCGGATCATGAAAGGAGGAGCGGCCGACAGAAGTGGTCAGTTTCAGTTCCCGTTGCTTTTCCTTTTTGTTATTTACCCAGGTTTGTGTATCAGCAGTTTGGAGGTGTGAGAGTTCCTCATTCCGTGCGGCAGAGAAAGGCTGTGTTTAGGAATGATCTTTCTACTTTAATTTAAATCAATCTACTCTTTAAAACGGAACACAGATGCCATCGCTTTGCTGTTTATCCACGTTTCCCATCTGTATGTCTTCACTGTGTCCAGCCTGTGTATCAGCTCTGCCAGAATCAAGCCAAAGGCGAATTTCCACATATGTCCTCAATAAAATGATGATTCCCCTCCAATCCCACTGATCACCGTCACTGTAAACATTCATCTGCTGTTCTGTACACAACCTGAGGCTCTGAACATGCTGCTCTATCAGACAGGAGCTCCCTTGTGTTCGAAGATATGAGTAGTAGACCTTAGACTGATTATAGAGATGTAATCTTGCTGTTTTCATGTCAGGGCTAATTAATGCTGGAGATGAGCTGATGGAGGTCAACGGGATCCCTCTGGATGACAAGAAACCAGAAGAAATCATTCGTATCCTGGTATGATTCATATATTTTCATGTGTCTGGAGGTTTTTTCTTTGTTTCCACTTAACTTAAACCAAAAAAATCCCTCAATTGTGATAGCAAAGGTTTTTTTTAAAGCTTCCTAAGGCTCCCTATCACTACTGATAGTCGTTTCTCTGAGCCATTTCTAGCCTTTAGACCATGTGCATTGTGCTGCAGTCTTCTCGGAGGAAACTGATGCTGTGTAGTTCCTCCAAGCCGCCATTTCCACAGGCATGAAATGAACTCCATTATGGAATTGAAGTTTTTTAGGGAAACATTTAAAAAAAAACAAAAGAGTCAGTTAAGCTCTATGCCCTCTAAGATTAAACCTTGAATGCGTTTCAAACACACTCACGCAAGGGATTGGTTTTACAAGAACTATGTTTAGCATGTGTAGTTTAGTTTTCCACCTACATTTAGATTCAAGAAATGAGAACAGGTCTTTTAAGCCAAAATTGTGAAATTGTAAGTTTTTGTTTCCTGAAAACAGTTTTAGTTCCCTTGATATCCCATGTTTGCTGATGATACTGTGAGCTATAGCGAACGTCAGTTAAAAGACAATCCGGGGAGAAGTAATGATGTGAAGATATCCAAATTGAAAATCTAGAGAATGAGATCCAAATAAACATTTATAAATAACCAGGAGATATTTCAAATGGTAAAGCTGTAGGGAGAAGAGATAATCAAGGTGAATGAGTTTAAGCATCATCAGTGTTGACGAAGAGAGAACAGTTCATGGTTAAGTGAAAGTAGACAATTGTTAGCCATAGATTATAATGAAAGGATAGCTGTAAGAGATAAATAAAAGGTGTATAAGATATAATTTAGACTAGTTATAAAGTTTGGAAATGGTAACAAAAAACTGAGAGACTTACTTTAATACAAATGAGTGTCAGGGACAGACGGATCATGGTAACTTCTTTAAAAAATTTCGAAATGGAAGGTATATATATAGTATAGAAGGTATAGATAGATAGATAGATAGATAGATAGATAGATAGATAGATAGATAGATAGATAGATAGATAGATAGATAGATAGATAGATATCAGATATGTTAAAGATAGAAGATTAAGATAGAGCTGCATCCAACAAGGATGTGATTTATCTGGTTGAGGTGATGATAAGGAGAATGACATTAACAGTTCACTGAACAGCTCAATGCAATGGTAGTTTCTAAACACCAAAGGGAAAATAAATAAAGATACATTTATGTTGTGTTTTGGTGGTTGGCAGCTTTCTTAAGTCTCTCTGGTTCTTCCATCTAGGCTCAGTCACAGGGGGCCATCACGTTTAAAGTAGGTCCTGCTGGGAGAGACGACGTACCCCTCAGAGAGCCAAAGGTCAGTCATTTATCATATCCAAACTGTAGCACTGTTGGCTAATTAATGTTATGGTTTTGTTTGATCCATGTGCCTTCTTGGTTTGTGAGCAATTCATTGCTTTTTCTCAAAGTTCCCGGGGCGGGGGGAAATTGTGGGCCCCAGTGACTGGTTCTGTCAATGTTAGGGCCCAATCCTCGTCTCACTGGTATCAATGGGCACTGTTGGAATTTGCACTAACAATGTACTTATTTCCTTCTGCCTGAAGTCTGTGTTGGTATTCAACAGGAACTATGTTAATATCATCTTATATGATAGGGCTTATTTACCTGGAAGAAGCAAGGATGATGATGTGGCTGCGTCACCATGTTTCTAGCTGCAGACAATGAGTTGGTGTCAAATGGTACCATGTTTCAGTACCTAAAGGTATCATTGTGACACAGACAGAATGGAAGAGTGGGCTTGTTTCCAATGCCCATCATGAAAAGATAATTTCTTGCAGAAGAGGTTGATGACATTAGAAGCTGCTGGCAAAATAACCAAAGCAAGCCTCGCTTATAGAGAGCCTTCAGGGGTTTGGCATCTTGAGTGTAAATGCAAGGCGGAATGAACTCACCGCAGTAGTTATGATGCAAAGTAAGTAAAAGCTAGTAGTAGGAATGCCACTATTCTGAGGAAGTACCTCGTTATTCGTAACTTAGCTTTTGCATGAATAAGTTGTTGGTAGCACCTTGTCAGGTCTAACACCTAAAACACTGTAAAACAAGGAAAGAAAGGCACAGAGTCAGAATTCTTTTTACTCGCAAGGAGAGTAGGAAGAGACCGTGCAGGTACATCTCCACCCCACTCTGCCGGTCTCCAGCTTTCTCCTCGCTATTTATTAAAGCCAGAGGGGGGGTCCCTAGTTACACAAACTGAGGTTGCGCTGAAGGAATAGGAAACAAGAAATACAATTCAATTTGCAGTCTCATGGAACAGGTCAATTTGCATTTAAATGTCTTGCGGTCAAATGGTCTGAGGACTTCTGGTCTCGTTAAGCCTGAGCAATACTTCCTGAGAGTTGACCTATACTGCTTGTGCAACACCTCTCTGGAAGAGTAATATATCACACATTATGCATCATAAGAACAAACATTAAGTATCTTATACATAATTATTCCAACACACCTACAGAATTTGATCAGGACATTGGTGTCCATCCCTACTCACTAGTCACCGCTGCAGAGGTCACTACCTTCCATAATCTTAAGCACCAGCTGCCATGCCCTGACCTGTGTAGATTGGTTTTTACCCTTCTTCTATAACAACTATAGGGCATCTGTTCGAAATGTGTTCAGGTATTTCTGCGAGCGCTCTTTGACTATGATCCAAGCAAAGACAATGCCATCCCTTGTAAAGAGGCTGGTCTGGGGTTCAAGAAAGGCTCGATCCTTCAAATAATGAGCCAAGGAGATGCAACATGGTGGCAAGCAAAGCATGAAGGGGATGCTAATCCACGGGCTGGTCTGATCCCATCCAAACAGTTCCAAGAGAGGTAAGAGCCATCTTTGACTTTGTCGTAATTTTGCGTTGCGGCGCTAAAAAACATCAGACACAATGCAAGGCCCATGGCCCAAGAAGCAAAGATTTTCTGTTATCATTTAAAAATCTTTGAGGTGGACAAGAAAAGTGTACCCTTGGGATGTGATTGAGTACTAATAGTACAGACTTAGTAAAGTTTGGACAATTTGACACATTATGGCTTCTGGTCATTGCAGATTTGCTTAGAGTGTTAAATATTTGGTCAGGATAACTGATGTTTGCATCCCATTTTTTCCAGGAGATTCGCACTAAGGCAGCCTGCTGTGACACAGCCACTGCAGCGGACCCTGAGTAGGCGATCCTGTGAGTATTTGTGACCTTCTGGGTAACTAACAAGAACGTTAGGCTGGTTTGATAGGGGGCGGGTTAAAAAAAAAGATAAAGGTCTGAAAATGTTATTTCTTAAATGACCGTACCCTTAAAGCCGTGTATCTATAGCAACCATATAGCTATGCTGCTTAATCCTTTTTATCAGAGGAAGTTTTCTGCTCCGGTTTTCCTGGTTATTCATGGCCAGACCTTCCCTACTCCTCTTTTCATGCATTGATGCAGTTTAAGTCATTTGGGAACTTGAATAAAAGAAGAAGAAGGAATTTTCACATGAAAACGTGTTAGTTTTTGCATTGTTTATTTAAAACAGCAGATTAACAAGCTCAGATAAAGCTTATGAGGGATATTTTATTGAAGTCTAGAACAGAAGGAGAAAACATTCAACACAGCAAAGCGGAGCTCATCAGGATGTTCAAGATTTACTTCAAGATACTTAAACTTACCCCTGGTATCTAAGAGTTTATGCTGTCGATGTCAAGGGAGCCTTAGTTTGCTTACATCATTTGACATTGGATCTGCAACAATACAATATAAAGTATAATGTTGCAGTTAGACAAACATATTTTAAGAGGATCATCCATCTTCTAGGTCTGCTTCCAGCCTGCCTCTGATTTATGGATGTTTTCATTTCCTCCTTATGTTCAACCACACAGTGGCATACATGCTGCTGGATGGCCAAAAACAGCCCACTGAAAGCTCTTAGACAGACGCCGCTCTGCTGCTCCCTCACTCATTCCTCTCAGGAGTTGTGGGATTTCTGACCCTCTTCTTTGAGCTGCTGGAAAACATTTCTCTTACAGTCCAGCATGCTGTGAGCAGGAGTTGTGCTGCAGCAGTGAAAGGAAGTCCTCTGACATGACTGACATGGCCCTCAGTGGTCCGAATGGATCAGCAGCAAATGATAACAAGTCTTTATGTTTGTGCTCAGTTGTTCTTTCTAAACAAATCTGTAGAAAATGCTCAGAGTGTTGAACAAAGAGCAAAGAACTAAAACAGAGTCTGAAAGAGAAAGAAGAGAAAGAGCAGAAGGAGCTGCAGAGCAGTAGATGGTGAGAGGAGCCATCAAATGACCACAGTCAGAAGCAGATGTGGGCCTGAATCTACAGAGAGATGGAGGGAGATAAAGCTTGGCTCTGGGCCCGGTTCAGGCCGTCCCAACATGGCCCCGGGGCCATAAACTACAAGCTAGTTATAGGAAACCTTGGAGAGCCTGTAGTTACTGAACAGAGGACAGAGGTGGTGATTGAAGAGGGGGTGTTTTCCTCTTTCTCTCCAACCCAGGAGCTCCGTCAGCTGGAACAATATTGGTGTTGGCGAGGGCTGCAGTGATCAACTGTTTACAGAGCATACATCTTGATCAAGTTAGCTTATCTTTCATTGCAGTAAAGCCAGCATTCACGTCTATCAGTAAAGGGTATATATAATCGTTTTTGATTGTTCTTTATTTGAAATTGATATAAACGAGATGGTTTAGGCTTTTTAATTTATGTTGTGCATCTGGAAAATAATCATGAGCCAGCACTGATTTCTCATTGAATTGAGGCCGAACCGTTTAAATTTTGTAAAATTATTGGTCAAATATGCATTTCCAAATACATGTAGTCTTTAAACTGCATTAAATAAGCATTAAAATACGCCTAATTTTATTAGTATGTTCCACATTAATCAGCTTTTTATTCAGCTCTCGGACGTGAAATCTGTTAGGTTTATTCAGTGATGATTATAAAATTAATGTGTGCTTATAAAACATTTTTGCAAGGGGATGCTCCACTCCTCTCTCATGATTCAGTCAGGAGACCATCCTGCCTTGTCATTCTGATGGAGCATCCTGTCTTTATGAACTGATAAATCGTTCTGTCAGAACAATACTCTGTTTGTAACCATGGGTCATGTTCTGTTAATAAAATTCTCTGCGGAGGAGGTCCAGGGGGAGACAGTGTGTTTGAGTCTGGGGTTCAACGGTCTCTCCTTTCTGCAGAAATAATTGTATACATAATTGTGTATTTCAGTTCTTCCTTTTTCAAAAAACCTACATTTTATGAACCTGACAAAATCCCCATCCTCTATGTAGCAAGAGGACACTGCGGGTGAGTCTCTATGAGACTCTACTGAGGTTTGAGCCTCTGTCTATTGAGGATAAAGTAGAGCCCTGATTGGATAACACGCCAAAATACGCCACTTCCAGTGAGGCTCAGCTTCTTAGGAGGTCTATGGAGCAGGAGCGGGTCATGAAGCTGGCTGTTTGATGCTGATTGGCAAACATACAGCAGCATTTTTGACTGACAGGGGCCAGACAGGAGGAGATTTTCCTCATGAATCGAGAGGGGAAAATGGGTCATTTAGTCAGAACAGTCATTTTGTCCTGCACTCTTGCCGTGTTTTATGGAGTTTATAGATATTTTTAACTGTGTTAGTGAAGTTTTTTAGATGCTTTAACATTTTTTAAATGGAATATTGGACGTATTGAGCCTCCCCTTTTCCAGAGAGCCACTGGTAACAGCATTGTTCCAAAGTGTAGTAATTAATTTATTTCCTGAGAATTCAATACACATTTTGATTATAGCATAAATAATTCTTCTTTAAATTCTAGTTATTTCTCTTTATGGTTCATCTGTCTTTATTGAAGTATTTATCAATGTTTAAATTAACATTGTTTTCTGCTTTATAGTACTATTTTTTGTGGACTTAATGACTGTGTTAATATGTTTTCTTGATTTCTGATGCAATTGAAATTAAACGTTTTTCCTCCCTATCAAGCTGTAGTGGACGCTCCACAGACATGTTCCACAGATTTTGTCTCTCTAGGTAATGGCTTAGTCACATGCTTTTTAGCAAAATAGATTAGTTAGATGTAGATTTAAAATTATTTGTAGTTTCTTTATTTAACAGCAGTGGGAAATAATGTAGATTATTATTCGTAACCATGTTAGCTGTAAGGTTAGGGTAATTTAGATGGTATAAATTAGATATAATACCTGAATTTGAATCAAATGTGTTAAATAATAAATATTTTTAACTTCAAAGGGATACTAAAGGAGGTTTTCAGTGATAGATCCACTAATCTTACACTGCAAAGAATAAATCAATAATAAATTTTTCTGTAAATAATATATTCTCTGTTCTTGGAAACTGGTAAGTAAGAAAATTTGCCAATAAAATAATTTGTTTACATTTAAATTAAGAGAAAAGCAACAACTATATCATCATAATTTCAGCTGAATATTAAGTTATCTTATTTTAAGTCTTTCCATTGGCAGTTTATGTTATTTACCTGCTTAACTTATGGGAAAATAGGCTAATTTTTAGAAAATGTTTCTATTTTTAGATCATTTTTTGCAGTGTATTTATCATGTTGTAATGAGTTTTAATAAAAGGAAATCTTTAGAGCACTGGAAGGCTAGCAGCTAGTCCACCGGAGCCCCTTATGTGCTAACTCCATGGTAGGGATGCACGATATAATCAGCCCCCTATCGGTATCGGCCTTAAAACTGAATATCGGACATCGGCCACCCCACCGATATTTAACCCGATATTTGATCAGCTTCTGAGTTTCTAAAGTCTAAAAAAAAATAAAAAATACTACTTCTTCTTCTTCAAACACTTCTTTTTTACAGACTTAAAAACTTCTAAAGTCGAGGGAAAAAATATTGATACATTAAAATATCACAATATCTTCATTGCCATTTAAAAACACCATATCAATCTCTTTTACTAATGAAATATTGCTATATGTCATCGTTATGCTACGAAATCCCCCGAAAATTCACGAAATGTTGCCATATTTTTATATGTTGATATATTGACGCGGTATCGATCTATTTTACTAACAAAATCTCACAAAAATTTGCTAAATATCACGAGAGTTTGTAACAGAACGATGAAATTTCACAAGATTTTGAAAGTAAAATAGATCCATACCGCGTTTTTAAAAAATCAATTTGATATCAGCATATGAAAATATATTTGAGTATATTATTTTTCAAAGTGTCAGAAATGGATAACAAAACTGCTATTTTCAATGACTACTTATTTTTGTCCAGCTTTAACATCGGTATCGATCTCGGTTATCGGCTACATTAGTTTTAAAATATCGACATATCGGATATCGGCCAAAATCCCAATATCGTGCAACACTACTCCATGGTTTTTAAAACCTACTTGAACTGAAAATGTTCTCTCAATTTATATACATATATACCCAAATAATGGCTATACATGTATAGAAAGCTGTTATCAGGTGATGGCATTCTATATCTCCAAATTATTAAGAATATTTATTGCTAAAGTGTTGATAATCAATATTACCTAAAGGTCTTCCACCGTTCTTAGGATTTCTTTGCTTCATGTCAATGTGAAAACATTCTCCTCCATTTAAGGGAAGTAATGCTGAACGTTAAATACACCAATTCAAACTCTGTTTATGTAATAACTTCTAAATAGGAGAGTTTTTGCTATTTTTCATGTTGCCCATCTAACCATGAGCTTTATATCAGCAACTGCTACCACTGTAAGTTTATAATCTGCTCTTGCCTGTATTCATGAATTTATTCAATTTTGTCTAACATATATGAGAGGTTTGTGCATTTAACATCAGCTTTAACTCCAAAAACATTTCCATTAGTTAATAAGTAATATAAGATAATGGAGGTGAAGGGATTCAGTGTGTAAATGTTTCACCACCACCATTCCTCTTCGTTCCTTGTCCAGCAGCCTTAGTCGTGATGAAAGTTAAATGTTCCTTCTTTTCTGTCCAAAAGGCAAAAAAAGTTGATGGTTCAACTAATTGATCACAACAGATTTTATTAGGCCATGAAAAGTGTGGATTAGCTGCCTGTGGTGTGTTTGAAATAGGTTTGTAGTTACCAGATCTGCTTGGGCCTGTGCATGCCAGTGACGTTGCGATATATGATTGGCTGAACGTTGCCACAGGACGTAAAACATGGTTGCTGAGACGATAACGTAATACAGTCTCT